AATTTAGTCTTAACCACCGAAGAAAATCATCGTCCCCGCAGGAGGCTCCAAATTTCCAGAAACAGATCTTTAATGTAAGAAAACCAACTGTTGACACTAATTCTTAACCGTCCAACCGTATTTGCCAAATCAAATCAGTTAACCAGTTAAGCTCTAATCACTAAGTTGATTTGCTAGAACACCAATAATAAATGTATTCTATTAATTTATTAAATATTCGATTTTAATTTTAACATCTAGTCCCAAATATTTGAATTTTCAATTGATTCATTTTTCGTGTTGTATATCTTTCTCCTCGTTATCACTTTATACCAACACCTAAATCATACTGTATTCATCTAGGATCGGTTTGCCTTATTTACAAAATTTTCTGTATCTATAGGCGCATATAAGCCTGTAAAAAATCCTGATAGCAAATCACATGTGTATCAATATGATAGGCCATATTGTGTATATAAATAAATTTACCGTGAAACATTTCTCACAGATTTTATTTCATTCTAGGAGGTGCGTTAAAGAATGTTTAAAATAATTTTATTATTTACCATTGAGTTTATATAAAACTAGTCATTTGCAGTAATATTTTAAAAATAATTGATTTCGTGAATAAATAATTTGCAAATAGGAAAACTTTTTAATTTATGATATTACTAAAATAAAACTAATTTTCCTAATAGTTATACTTTCAGTAAAACAACAAGACATGACTTTCCTAACTCGACCAACCCGTATATCTTTATTATATCAATTGACTTTACCTTTAACCAATATCACCAAGGGTAATTCAATGCTTCTCAATTCTATTGGATTAATTCGCGGAATGAAAGTTAGATCTTCCGTGAAAAAATTATGTGATGGTTGTTATACCGTTAGGAGAGGTGGGGTTGTATTTGTACTTTGCAAAAAGAATAAGAAACATAAGCAAAGACAAGGTTAAATACTATTGATTAAGTATGATAAACTAAATAATCTAGTTGAAGTATAATAAAGTATCAACTTCTGACGTTAATAATAATATGCTGGTCCTATACGGGCACATACGGATCATGATTTGGCCAAATTCCGATTTAGTCCGGACCTCGAGAGTATATTGGAGTGTCGTCAATTAAAAGGAACCATTTTTACATTTTTAAAAAAAATTGAGTTTTTATTAGATTCATTAATCCCGGATCAGTCCGAAAATCAAAACAAATGATTAAACTCAATTATAAAAATGGGCTGACGACATATTTTGACTAATTAAAAACTATGTCGACGACGTCAATAAAAATGCAGTGCCACTCCTCCGTAAACGACCATACCTTGTTCGCACCACAACCGTCTTTAAGACGCGTAATAAGCCGTCATAGCAAGGAGTCTCTACTTGGAATCGTACAAAAATGGCTTGAAATACCGCAACTTATTCCGAAATATGACTCAAGTTCCGAAGAAAGTGAAGAGTGTCAACAACCTAAAAGATTACGACAAGTTTACGAAAATTTGTCTGGAGGCAAGAGAAAAGTAGTTGATAAAATATATCTTGATGATTGGGTATTTATAATTTATTTAAATTCATTTACTGAATTTTACAGGTATTAATTAAATTTTAATCATTCTCAGAAAAATGGATTAACATGTTTACAAGTCGCACAACTTGATATGAAATGTGTGTAATTAACTTCCAGATTTATTTTTAAAAATAATTAAACTCTTTTTAAGTCATTTATTAAAACAATCAAATATGATTATGAAAGCTGTGGACCACAATTTCAAATTGCTCTTGAGAAATTTTCTGAATGCTACAATGTAGCAAAGTTAAAATCTATTCTAGCCTTAATATTCTTTTTATATAATTTTAATTGTGAAACTGATCTACTTGTCTATATTAGAAGTAGAACAAAAATTTATATATAAATTGAATCAGTAAAGCGTAGAAAATTAGTAACAAAGAAAATAATAATCTTCATACTATTCTAGCATACAAAATTTGAGCAGTTAGTAAAAAAGTATATAGACTTAGTGCAAATATTAATAAAAATCAGTTAAATTAACTTCAACATATAATTAGTATAATTGCTTCAATGCTATTTTTTATATA